TGCCGCCCCCCCGCCCGGCCCATGTTCCTGGCGCTGGACGGGCGGGGGGTGCCCCGGAGAGGCAGCCGGACACGGAGGCACCATCTGTCCACCCACTTCCTGCCCGTCCTGGTCTCCTGAGGCCCCAGATGTGGCGAAGATCCCTGTGCTGAGCAGTGCTGCCCGGACGGGCTCAGGCCATGGCGTCCCCCCATGTGCCCCGAGCACCACCGTGTGCCCAGCCTGTGCTGGGCGCAGGACGCAGCCAGGTCCCTGTGAGGCCAGGCCAGGAGCCCCAGTCTGAGGAGGAGGCAAGCACTGGGCAGACACAGGGCCCACCAGGAGTGGGGGCCCCGGGGCACCTGCCAGGCTGGAGGGCACGTCATGTGGGTGCCAGGTGGGAAGGGGCGGAGGCTGGGGCTGGAGGGCCTTGCCGGGGGCAGCCATGATGCCACACGACTCAGGGAGAGGTGCTGAAGTGAGCTGGCAAGACAGCGGCCCAACCGAGGCCTGGGGGTGGTCACCCTCGTGGACAGAGGGACAAAGCTGAGGACCCTGCACCAGGAGATGGTCCAGTGTCCCCACAGGGTCCTTCTAGGAGGGACTAAAGGTGGGGGTGCAGGTGCGCTTCCCACTGGAGCCCCAGGAGGGCCAGCCCTGCCACCCCTAGCTCTGGCCAGGGAGGAGGCTCGGCCTGCCTCAGCCCAGAGCCCTGGGTGTGTCTGTAGGCTGTCAGGTGTATGGTCACGAGTGACACTGCTGGACACGCGTCTGAGACCGTCATTGGCTGTGGGCTCTGGCACTCCTGGAGAGAGTCCCCTGCCAGGGGACCCTGGTGCCACCTCGCCCCTGCTGGGAGGCGCTGGGCGCTCGATGCCGGTCAAGCCAGCGGCTCGCCAGGGGTCCTGATCCCGGTGTGAGGGATGGAAGGCTGGTTGGACGTGACGGTGAAACCTGAGTGGGCTGCAGCGAGCGGCGTGGCCGTCTGCTCTGTAAGTGGTACGCCGCCCCACGGAGGCTGCATACACACATCCATGAAACGCAGCCCAGCACCCTTCGGACGGCGGGCGCTGCAGGAAACCTGGCGGAGGAAAGGCCAGCCTGAGGATGGGTCTGCTTCCATGGAGCTGGAGTTGCTGGAGGACAGGCTGCCGGGCGGGGCGGGTCTGCCTTGGTCCTGGATGGAGGTCAGAGGGAGGACCCCCCTGCAGAACCTCCACGCCTGCGCCCGGGCCGGACATCTGTGCCCAGGTGGGTGTGACCCCGCTGGAGGAACAGTGCTGTGTGTTATCCTTGGACTGTCAGTGAACAGTCCACCCCTGCTGGCCCCACGGCGTCCGGAACTGGACCTGTCTCCCTGCACTGCACACGGGAAGCTCCTGCTTTCCTGCGTAGGGACTCTGCAGGCGTGTGCTCCCTACACTGGCCCAGCTCCCTCAGTTGGGGCTGACCTGGGTACCAGGCCACCGAGTCTTTGCAGGCCTGACGCTGCAGGCAGCAGCCCAGAAACAGCTCCTTCCTCTGCTGGGCCGCCCACGGGGAGCGAGGCGGATTCTCCAGCTCCTCCATCTGGTCTCGGCCGTGGGAAACAGCTCCACCCCACCGCCATACCCAGGGCAGAAATAGGGGCCCCACGCCCAGGCCCTGGCTACTGTGGCCAGGTAGCCAGCCCTGGGTGGGGACATAAGGCCCTCCTGACTGCTCACCACGGCCTCCTCTGCACAGGGGCTCGACCCTGGCTTCAGCAGCTGGGCGGCAGGCTGCCCGACTGCACTGGGCGCTCAAGGGGAAAGGAGACGCCACACCACCAGTTCTTTGTACGCAGGTGTATTTCAAATAGCTTTCAAGATACACATAGTTCTCCTTTAAAAAACGCCGAGCAGTTGAGTGAGTTCTGTCTTGCTGGTCGTCCTGGCGGTCCCCAGCCCTGTGCTCACTCAGTCCTGAGACCTCAGGGCAGCGGGGGACCCTCCACAGACCCTGAACGGCCATGTCTGAGCTACAACGTCCATTTATTTCAAAGCAGTAATAATTTAAAATTATAAAAACCTTTCCACCGTTGAACATTTAAGGGTGAGGTTAGAGACGATGGGACTGAGGGCTGGAGCCCCTGCAGGGGCCGTGGGGCCACACCCCTCCGGAGCAGCCAGGGTGGCCCTTCGGTACCGGTACCGGGCAGCACCGCGCTGACCTCTGTCCCCGGGGTCGGGCAGTCCCCGAGCTCCGCCCAGTGGCCTGGGACAGGGAGGGCCGACCCGACAGCGCGGCCAGCGCCGAGTCTGGGTGTGGAGCGTCCGACGCCGACTCAGGAGTTACTAGCGGCGTTCTCATTGCCGGGAGAGCTGGACGAGGAGGACGACGAGGACGAGGAGAAACTGACTCCGGTCAGGCCCGGGGGGTTTGTGGCCGTGTTCTGTCCCGTGAGGCTTTTCCGGCAGACGGGACAGCTGTCGTGCTTGGGGTAGAAGGGAGCGAAATCAGTGTGGTGGGGAGAGCCCACCGCGGGCTGGGCTGGGCGTGGGCGGGGCCTGGTGTGTGGGCGGGGCCAGACCTGCAGGCTGGGCGGGGCCTGGCCAGCAGGCTGGGCGAGGTGTGGGCGGGGCCAGTAGGGTGGAGCATGGGCGGGGCAGGCAGGGCCCCACCTGCTCTAGCCAGGGCACGATGCAGCTGTCGTGGAACAGGTGGTTGCAGGGCAGCTGCCGCACGCTCTCGCCCAGTGCATAGTCGTCCTTGCAGACCGGGCACTCGAGCCCGGAGCCTGTGAGGAGCGAGGTGAAACCAAGGGAGGGTCACAGGGCACCCACTGTCCACCTGTGCAGCCTCCAGCAGCCCCAAGACGAGGCACTGTATGGCCGAAGTGCTGGTCCAGAAAAGTGAGGGCCAGTGGGCCACACCTCGCCTGCTTTGGTTTTAGACAGCGTTTCCCGCATCCTGAACCTCCTCCTCAGCTTCCCCGAGCCACTAGGGTCCCAGCTGTGTCCCTGCACCTGGCCCCCAGGCTGGATGGAGCTAAGCCCAGGCCCCGTGGGTTCAGCCTGCCGGGCACAGCATGCGGGCAGCACGCCACGTCTGGCCCGCATTCTAATAGCGGCTGTCCCCGCAGCTCCAGCGGCCGGCTGCTGTGGAGACCCGGGTCACGCTAGAGGCTGCGCAGTGTGCTCCAGGCCGGGGGGACGGAGTGGTGAGCCCTCTGCTCAGATCTGGAGCAAAGTGCCGCGTACCTACATGCTCCTCCGTGACAGGGACCGTGGGGAGGGCCTGGATCTTCTCCTTGTCTGCGGGCGGGGGGCCTGTGTTCTCAAACTGATTGAGGAGCTGAAAGACAAGGGGGCAGTCTGGGGGCTCCTGGGGGCAGGGTGTGCTCCAGGGGTAGGGCTGGAATTAGAGGCCACAGGACCTGCAAAAGCACCAGGCTGCGTTCTGGTCAGGGCCACGTGGCACCCACGAAAGGCCCCTGCTGCTCCCGGCCAACTGCCACTCGGGGACAATTCCGAGAACCACCCTCTGGGCCCGAGCCCCTACCCAATCCAGAGACAGGCCGGCTGCCCAGGCACTGTGGCCACGGGGAGCCAGGGACCCTGGGAGGGCAGGACACCCCTGGGTGTGGAGAGGGCAGTTCGAGCGGCCGAGGGGTCGGTGGGGCAGGGCGGGGTACCCCCTACTCACCAGGGGCCCAGGCCCAGGCTGGGGATGGCCGCTGGGGTGATGATGCCATTGACCAGCTGCTGGATGATCCTGCGGCAGAGCGGGTGGTCAGGGCAGCCCCGCATGCAAGCGGAGCCAGGCTGGAAGGCCCCCCACCCAGGCTCAGAGGATGCATCGGGGCACTGGACCCTGCTCCGGGGCCATGGACTCAAGCCCCCAGGTGCAGGAGGCAGCAGGACCTGCCCTGTCTGGGAACAAGGCCACCCACCAGGTGGTAGACCCCGGAAATGCACCATTCCTCGAGCAGGGCCCGCCGGCCACCCCGGCC